TCGTAATATGGTACTACATTATGGTACCCCTTGATATGCTTCATGCTTCCATAATATTGCAATGTCATCAAAAATACGCAAGTATAATCAAATATAAGCCCAATCGAACGTCAGGAAGTGGTCGTAATATGGTACTATATTAAGGTACCACTTTATATATGCATCATAGTAGATGCATTATAGTACCATCATATTACAATGTCACCGAAGATACTTACTATACCAAGTTAAGCCCAATCGAACGCCAGCAAATGGTATCGTATATGGTACTATTATGGTACCTCTTGATAAGCTTCATGGTACCATAATATTGCAATGTCATCAAAAATATGCAAGTATATATCAAATATGAGCCCAAATGAACGTCAGAAAGTGGTATCATAATATGGTACTATAGAAGGTACCAATTTATTTGCTCCATGGTGCCATCATATTACGATGTTACCGAAATTACGTAGTATACAAAGTTTAAGCTCAATCAAACGCCAGGAAATGGTATCGTAATATGGTACTACATTATGGTACCCCTTGATATGCTTCATGGTACCATAATATTGTAATGTCATCAAAAATACGCAAGTATAATCAAATATGAGCCCAATCGAACGTCAGGGAGTGGTATCGTAATATGGTACTATATTAAGGTACCACTTTATATGCATCATAGTACCATCATATTACAATGTCATCGAAGATACTTACTATACCAAGTATAAGTCCAATCGCACGCCAGGAAATGGTATCGTATATGGTACCTCTATCGTATATGGTACCTCTATGTACTATTATGGTACCTCTTGATACGCTTCATGGTACCATAATATTACAATATCTCTGAAGATACGTAATATACCAAGTTTAAGCCCAATCGAACGCCATGTATCGTAATAAGGTACAATATTACGGTATCACTTGATATGCTTCATGGTACCATAATATTGCAATGTCATGAAAAATATGCAAGTATGTATCAATACCGTATGATACCGAAAAACGGCGTCCAAAAGCTGGGAAAAAGACGAATTTTGACGCGATTTTCATTTCACAGTTACATCCGCTAACGCCGTTTTTCCCGATCATACGGGTATGAACACAATCGAACGTCAGGAAGTGGTGTCATAATAGTAGGACAATAATTATTATATTGTCGCCGAATTACAATCAAAATTCAGGATTGAGTTAGAATCAAACGTCAGGAAGTGATTTTAAATGAGCTCGTAAGATTTAACTCCAACTAACATGATGAGTAAAAAATATAAACGTTTGAAAAGAGCTCTAATCTATTTTAATATGTTTAAAATGATGTAGCAAATTTGAAACTAGGGCTTTATCAGGAAATATTACAATATAAATTACACAATGGCAATACTGCATAAAAATTCTTTTAAATTCTGTTTGTAGAAAAACTGTTTTCTTTTAAATTTATCGCCCTCTGTTATGTAGTAGTAGAACTACCGCATCAAAATATCTGATTTGGAGACAGGCTTTTAAAGCCTGTCTCCTTTTGAGACCTACGATTTTATACATGTAACGAGGCTTCTGTTGCGTAGCTAGATATTCTGTGCCATTACTAATATTCGTATCTGTCCATAAGAGGTTATGTTTTATCCTTGTCTATATATAATATAGTCTGACAATGAGGGGTATTGTGAGCTGCTGCCACCATGCGGCCTTTTTTTGAACCTTAAACATGAATGAAAATCGCCAAGAATTTTACCCCTCAATTAAAATGGTGGGAGATGGGCGGATCTAGGTTTAATAGTATATTTCAGTATATTTTTAACTTTCTTTTCTGAATCCGAGTTCCGAGTTTTTAACCTTGATTTAACCTTGGTCGGGCACAAATTTTATTTCCATGCAAAAAATATATAAAGAAGCAATTTTTGACAGAGAAATTTTTATTTTAATATTATTATATCTTTAAATAAAATTTTGAGCTAACTTCCAAACAGATGCACAAGAAAGAATGTTTTCAATAAAATGAAATTAAATTGTACAGAATTTTTTTTTCAATATTGAAGATTATTTTATATCTATTAATCCCTGTATATGAATACAAGACAAGGATACAAGGTATTAATTGAATTAGATCTGTATTAGAAATATAAAATATAAGAATTATTTAATTATACGCATTGAAAATAGTTTTAGTTTTCCTGAAGAATTTTTCTACATATTTTAATAAGTGTAATCAATGGAAAAAAATATTTTTTCTTAATTTTGAATGGTATTTTTATTGTAAATATGAACAAAAGACCATATTTATCTATATAAACAAAAGAAAACAATTTGGAAAATTTGCCTACAGTATGTCCCCCAAGTTTTCTCTAAAACAGTGTGGAAATTTGACAAAGAATAAACGGGATTAACCATTTAGACAAGCAAAATCTTTTTATGAAAAATGCATTTTTTTTAAATGTTAATAAAAAACTGCTTCTGTAAAGACAATCCAGGGATATACTGTATATTAGATACTTCGATAATGTTTATATATGTTATTCAATAAGGTTTATAGGGAAAGGAAGAATGACTGGAAAATTGGGGATAAACTGCAAGTACTTTTTTCTATGGGATTTTTGTATGAACTAAAGATCATAATGTTAGTGTTAGTGTATGAACCCGTAAGTTGTTTGTTTGTAAGAATTTATAATATATTTTAAACACATTTATTAATTAATAAAGATTTATTCTGAAGTTTACAATTAAGAATAAGCCGCCAAAATTGCTAATATTTATCTTCTGTTCTTAATACTCTTATAAAAAATGGTAATTTCTTGTGTAGATACACTGTATTTTTTTTTATAAAACTTTAGGAGGTTTAAAATTCTTTTGATTCACTAGGGTTGCGATATATGTATGTATGTATATTTTATCTTTGTGATGTTCATTGTGAAATTATTTTTCATTAAAAATATTTTTTCAAGAGACTAAGACAAACAGAAAAAATTGAACAAATTGAAATACTAAAATCACTCCATCAATTTGGTTCATAAACTTGTTGTAGTAAGTATTAGTACGTACGTAGGTATTATATTTATGTGTTTAAATCAAGTAAAATTTAGTTGAATTTAGATATCGGTATCTTCTCTTGGATTTAGAATGAGTTTAAACTTACAAAGAAAACATTTTCAATAAGACTAGGTATGTAGTTTTATTATTTAATTTTATTTTTTTTTCCTAACCAATTGTGTATATCAAGCATACCTTATATCTTTGTAGAACAAAAACCCGCTTCTTTAACTTATCATAATAAAAAATAAGGCTTCCTTTGTTCCAACACAAACCAAGTTTCTAGTTAATCATTAATTTATCACTAGAAAACAATTACATATCACATTTTTTGCACTGATAACCACTGTCAAATCACTATTTAATGTTAGCTGTCAGTCTCTTAAGACTTCGGCTGCAAATCCACTAATGGATGTGCATGAGCACATTAGTCCACTTTTTTATTTAATATTGCATGGAGTAGATCTTCCATTGTCTTGAGTCCCATCCACTCTCTGATGTTACCAAGCCATGACATCCTCTCTATCCCTTAATCTTTCCTTCGATGATCAACTGAAGGAATTGGTATCTATTGTTACGTATCACGTAACCCCATCCTCTGTTAATACACTTGTATGCATAATACCGGCAACTTTTTAGGAACATCCGGGTTTGTAGTCCTAATTTTTGGGGCATCTAGTGGATTCAATCAGCATGTCCAGCTTGAAATCATTCATAGTTGACTGGTTGGTATATTTTCTAGCTTGCTGCTTCTAGCAATATATTTTGATATTGTATGCACTAATTTAACTGTTAGGTCACTAATTCTATGACAATGGCAATCGTGTTAACCTTAAAACAGAACATAATTGATATTAAAAAACGATAAATACGATCAAAAACATACATAGATTTATATCGAAGAAATGTTATAATTTTTGCTACAGTAGATTACAGTACTTACCAGTCCTATTATTTTCGGTAGTTCCACAATAGTTCTGAACGCAATATATGCCTGGAAAATCAATATTGGCCTAGGAATTTCTGAATTTCCCTTTTATTTTCAGATTTTGATTGTTTGTTTTGAAGTATCGCGTGAGGTTAGGTTTCATCTTTCATCAACAACAGTTTGCGCGCGCTCCTTTTTCGTTCAAAATTTGTTCGATTGTTTATCGTCTCTATTTTCTTAATTATGCAGTCGAATTATTCTTTTTGGTAATAAATGGAATGTTGGGAATTTTGTTATTACTCTGATTTAAATATTCAGCCCAGAATTTTTTTTAGATACTCATTGTTTTTAAGAAAGACTCTAACATGACCCCAACTAACGGAAAGTAAAATCATTCCTAATAAGGAAACTCTAGTAATCGACCAATTAGAGAGTGACAAATCCCACTTTTCCTAAAAATTCGAGATTGTAGCGTAGGGGAATACGAAAACTTCTGAGGAGCCCTCGCCACCTGGTGAACAGAGCCCCAAAGCATCCGATCATTGTCTATCTATATCATCTATAATCAAGGGTTTTATGTTCATTTGTAATTCGGTTACCATAGATATAATATAAAATACTACTAATTTTTATCTCGATATATCGAAAAAGATAATTCGAATTAGTTAGTTTTAATTTACTATCGAATTAGTCGTATTATTTAATTCGAATTTTCCCAACACTAGTTTTAACTGGTTCGAAGAGTTATAACTTTTCATCCGTACTTTTACATAGAGGCATTTTTTTATTTTGTACGACAATGTGACGTCACATCTATCGTTAGTTGCATACAACTCCCTAAAAAAGGCATCAAATTTGATTTTATATTAAAAAAGAAAGATTCATCACCAAAAAAAGACTAAAAAACAAACAAAAGCAACCAAAACTTATTCGTGCAACCATAAAATGTACATAAACGTGCAACTTTGTGTCGATAGACAGTCAATTTTTATTCGCAAGAGCCTCGGCTACTATCAAATTTTCACCACTGTGACGTCCAAGTGACGTCATATTGTGCAGCTCTGTTACGGCTTTTTCTATTTTACTGTTGGCAACGCTGTCTGTATAGATTGTGAATTGTGATTGTGACAATCTATGGTGACAATTTATCGCCATTTTCAGATTTCCAAGGTGAGTCGATTTTAAGTTTTTTTTCATTTTTACACTGCAATTTGATATTTTCTTATAATTTTTTCCAAAATCTAAAGGCAGGACGATAATATATTGGTAATATGTTTCCAAAAATTTCTGTTTTTTTTTTGTAGTAAATACATACTTCGATTTTGATTATCTAACATTTTAATCATAGTATCCTTGTTCATATTGTTACTTTTTTGTATTATTTAGTAAAATTATTGGCACTTACTCATAATAATATTATACAAATCAATTTTTAATGAATATTTACTTTTTAATTCTAATAAAGTACTTTAAAATATGGGATTACATAATAATATCCTTAACCTAATATTTTTAGAGTATTTTTGTAATATTTTTTATACAGCAACTCTTACTTTGTTTTTAGTAAAATTCGAAAATGGCTAACAACCTGTTAGCACTCACTTGCAAACAACTACTTAAAAATGTTGCTGCTAAACATTCAGTACAGACTGCCTCTATGAGTGCTAATGTTGCTGGTTCATTTACAAGAAAACTAATTGGTAAGAGAGAAATTGTAGGACAAGGTTTTAGTGGAGAACCCACCTATATTGATAGGGCTGACTTTCCTTTTCCTGCTATTAGATGGAAGGAACCCAATGCTGACATCCTGGTATGTTTTACAACATTTACAATAAAAAGCTTACAATTTGGATTAATGCTAATTTTCCATACAGGCTTTGCGTGAAAAAGAGAAAGGAGATTGGAGCAAGCTTTCTTTAGAAGAAAAAAAAGCTATCTACAGGGCTTCTTTTAGACAGACATTTTCTGAGTTCCAAGCACCAACTGGCGAATGGAAATATATTCTTGGTGTTGGATTTATAATATTGTCTGCTGGAATTTGGTGCTTTTTCTTCCTGAAAGCTTTTGGTAAAGATAACAAAGAACTTGCAAAGAGGTCATGTATATGTATTCCCTTAATTTTTAGTGTATGCCCCATTGCCTGACACCTTCAAGAAAGAGAATAGGGAAGCTCAACTAGCACGTATGCTTGATTTGCGTGTCAATCCTATTGAAGGTATCTCCTCCAAATGGGATTATGAAAAGAAGGAATGGAAGAAATAGAAAATTTAATAACTGTATAGACAATTAAACTAACGGTGGGATCTGTACAAGGGCAGCAGTACAGATCTTATTGTTACCATCTAGTTGCCAGCATAACTAAACCATTTTATATTTTGTTTAATGTTGCATTCTTTTGTGATAAACCTACGGGCAGTTTTGCTGAAAAAATATGTATTAATAAAAGTAAACTGGATAAATATATATTTTTCTTTCAATAAAATCAGACTATTTAAAATTAAAAAACATGTATATATACAGGGTGTCCAAAAATTCCATACATAAAACCACTACATATTTTAAAAATCAAATTAAGTTCGTTGAATACAATTTACCTCAATATAAAATTGCTTTGATTGTACCGTATGATCGAGAAAAAACGGCGTCAGCGATGGCTATGAAATAAAGATCGCTGCCATTTTATATGTAAATTTATATAGGAAATGTCATCGATTGTCATTTCCCAGCCAACTGGACGCCGTTTTTTTTCGATCATACGGTATTAGAGGGCATCAAACTTTAAGCCCATGTAAAGTCCCTAACAAAACACAAAAAATGTAGTAAATACTAGGAGGACCATTTTACGAAAAAAAAATCAGTCGTCGGTAAAGTTGGAAAATATTTCTATTAAAATATACGTAGGGGTGGGGGGTGGGTGTAGTTTTCACCATTCCCCTACTTTTTTTGTGTGAAAGTTGGATGTTAATGCGCTTAGCAAAACCATTGTCTTATTGTCACCACAAATCTCGTTCAAATCGAAATATATCTTAAAAAATATGTTAATTTTTAAGTTTGATACTAACGGATTTATACAGGGTCGTCCGGCAATAGTGCGTCGGGCATCTCTGTCGCTCCTAGAATAAAAAACTTGTGAATTTTGTTTAAGCGCAAACCTAAAGTTATTAGGATGTATTACAGGAAAATATTTTAATTTCTACAGGGTGGCTCAAAAAAATGTGAGGGAATCGGGATGAAATACAAGAAATGTCCTGCAGTAAAAACTATATTAGGTTTTTACTGTAGTTGGTCTGTACTTACTTTGCTACAAATATCGTAATCTCATACAGTGTGTTCAAAATTGTATGCCAAACTTTTTAAAATATAAAATAGTTTTCTTCGTTTTTTTTTTAATATGGAACACCCTGTAGTTAGATGGAGAATTAAAAAATAAATATTTTTTTCTATTTAAAGTATTTCAACATTTTTAGAGGTTTCGCATATATTCCCTCTGTTTTATTACATATAGCTCTTTGAACGGCAAAATATAATACAAAAATCATTGGGTGGCTTTGGTAAAAAAATATTGTTGAAAACCCCATATTATGTAATCATGTATGTAATATAAAATACAATACCACGAATATATCCGCAAAACCGTTAAAAATTCTGAAATACTTTAAATATAAAAAGTGTTCACTTTTTAATTCTCTATCTGACAAAGAAATAATATACAGGGTGTTCCATTTAAAAAACGAAGAAAAACTATTTTATATTTTAGAAAGTTTGGCATAGAATTTTGAACACCCGCCTGTATGATTTAAGACTACGATATTTGTAGCAAAGTAAGTACGGGCCCACTACGACAGTAAATACCCAATACAGTTTTGATTTCAGGATATTTCTTGTATTTTTAATATTTTTTTTAAAAAGGCCGAAAAACATATTTTTTTTAGTTATTTATTAATATCTTTGAAACTAGGAAAACATATATTTACAGTTCGTCTGTCCGTTCTGTAGCTACGGGGTATCCGTGAGAGGGAAAACGATATTCTCTCGATGTTTTTCGTAAAAAATTAGACGACGCGTCCCATCAATAAAAATTCGACAAATTTGCAAGTAGCGAATAAAATTAGATATCTCCTTTGCCGTTCTAATTTTATTCAAAACGTGTAAAAATACATTTTACTACGCTTTTTTTCGTAATTAATTAGTATGATACCACTGCATACACCACAGGCGTAGTCAAAAGATTTATGAAAAATATAAATATCTCTTTAAGCGGCTATGTTAAAAAAATATGTGCTACGAGGGTGCTACGGCACTGTTTGGAGGTATCTTTGAATAAGAAGACTAGTCTTCTTATTCAAAGAGTTAAAATTGTCGGATAAAAATTGGTGTCAAAATATTTCGGCCAATAGGAGCACCGTCGGATCGTCGTGTCATCGGATTTCGGATGCATGAGACTCGGCTTTAGTCTTCTTAAGGTGGGTTCATACAGCCAAATAAAATAAAATAAGAATAAAATAAAATAAGAAATAAGGAATTCTTATTTGTGTGCGTCTGGTGTGCGTTCGTACAGGCAAATAAAATAAAATAAGAAATATATATTTGCTCATGCGCAGTACGATGAGGCTGGATAAAAGTTAACTTTTACGATTGTTTATAGTAATTTTACTATTTATAGTACCTATATTTATTTATTCGTTGCCTACTATATTATACATTTTACTTATGCGAAATTAAAAAATAAATTAAATCCAAACTGAAAATATTTGTAGGTTAGAATTAAGGGTGCGCAAAGCCGTTTTCACATAAAATAAAACAAGAAGTTAAAATCAATCGTGTGTGAAACTTGAAACAAGTGACAACGCGAAAAAAAAATACTAACATTTGTGTTCACCTCCTGGGAAGTCAAGCCTAAAATTAAATAGTTTCATAAAGTATCATTCCATTTATTGTCCTCATAATTGCGTATTTTGCGGCGGCCGAAAAATAATGGAGTCTCCCTAACGGCGATTTTCGAACTCTTCATTTAGACCCCAAAAAACTGGGCCCATAATTTCGCGTTCGATTCGCCTCCTCCTTTAGACCCATATATATACAGCTAAAAGATAAAACCCCTTTTACTGTATACATCGTGGCAACAGAAAAACGATTTTTTTGCTGTATAGTCACAGTTTAATCATCTGCAAATTGCTAAAGATATTCTTTGATCTAAAACTTAGTAACATTTTTAAATTAACATCAAAAGGACGTAATAGATTAGGTGTAGATTTTGATTCTTTCAAGGCGGCGAACAACTTTCTACAAAAAAACATTTAAAAAACCTAGGCTACGACATTGAGGACATTCCCAAAAATGACAACGATCATGTAAAGGCATCGTCAGGGCGATACCAAAAATGTTCTCCATGAAGACGATAGTGCAGAATATTACGCAGCAGAGACGTGCAGGCTAATAAGCTGCACACGACTGAATAGAAAAGTTATATAGAAAAGAAAACTGTAGAATACATACCAATCCACAGTCCTATGCTACATTTGAGGGCACAAGACTGCTTTAGAGACATCCAGGTTTTGGCTTGGACATGCAGATAAAACCATACGTTCCACCCGTTACGCAATGTTTTAACTGTTTGTCATACGTTCATAAAAAATGCCTTAATTGTGGAAGCCTTAGAACTGGAAAGTGCGAGACACCTCACCGTAAGGAAGACGGATCCTTCCTAGCCTCAAATAATTATGCACTCTGCAACTCCGACGAACATCGCTCCAGCTCAACAACTTGCATGGAGTTTGAAAGGCAGTTGGTTGTCAAAAAAGCCATGGCATTTGATTTTTACCTACTTCGAAGCGAACGAAAAATATAAAAGTTTTAATTCTAACACCCCATTTTTCCTAACGGGGTGATTTTCCAGAATACTGGCCAAGCCACATACGGAAAAAAGTCCCTTTTCATCACAAGAAAAATGGTTAAATACAACAAGAAGGAAGTAGACATATATTATGGCTGCAGCCTCTAATAAAATAAATACAAACTAATCTAAAAAGCAAAAGGAGGACATTACTTTATTTCCCAAATTCAACTAATAAGATCAAATACTCAGACCTGGACCATACCTACAAACTCTAGTAGCAACATAGTCATACCGCAAACAGTAAGAAAAGTACAGGAGCAAAGTACACGATATTAAATAATGTAATGTAATTAAAAAATGTATTACTGGTTGCCTGCACAATCAACACACGTATCCGCCAGAAATTAAAAGACTTTTATCAGGCGCCATCTTTTAAGTCAAGTATGAGACAAACAAGGAATTATAACAATAGAATTGTCTTAGTATGAAGATAGGTACGCTTTCCCGAGATTTCCGAAATTGACGTGTAGAAGCTATCAATAGAGACCCGTCAAGGTAGTAGCCATCGACAACTGAGACAGTTTTTCAAAAATTGAATATACCGCGTGGAAATTGAAAATCGGACAACTTGAAAGAATCTAATAAATAGTTAGTAATGTGTGTATGATAAATTAGTAATTGTGTGTAAAGTGAGAAAATAAATTCGTTAAGTATTATTATCGTGAGTTTAAATTAGTGGACCCACGGAATCATTAACAATTGGTGTCAGAAGGTGGGATTCAAGAGGATTTTAAGAGAAATTAAGTGGATTGGACGATTTTTACACCGAATTTGGGAATTTTTATGGTTGGTACGAGACAGCAAGCGAAGAAAATGGAGGAAGTAAGCAAATTATTGGGCGATTTTATGGAGAATATGAGAAGAGAAAAGGCAGAAGAACAAGAGAGGCTGAGAAAAGAAAAAGCAGAAGAGCAAGAAAGACTCCGTAAAGAACGAGAAGAAGAGCGAGCCCGACTAGAAAAAGAGAAAGAAGAGGAACAAGACCATCTACAGAAAATACTTATGGAAAATCAAGAGAAAATGTTAGAAGGTTTAGAAGCCCGTCAAAAGAAAGAGAAACAGGAAGAACAGGACCGGCTTGAAAAAATTTTCCAAGTTTGAAAATTCAACGACAACAAGACAAAGAAGAAGAACAGGACCGGCTTGAGAAAATTTTAGGCAATTTAGAAATTCGTCAGAAGAATGAATGGAGGGAAATTTTAGAAGATATAGAAACGCGCCGCCAGAAAGAAAGACAAGAAGATCAGGACCGTCTTAAGAAAACTTTAGAAAATCAAGAAATTCGACTTCAGAAAAGCTTGGGGGAACAGCAACAAGCAATGTTGGAAGAACGTTGCCAGGAACAGCAGAACCACTTCCAAGAAGCCGTAGAAGATCTGGAGGAGCGCCTTCAGCAGAAGATAGAAAAGTTGGAGATGGACCTACAGAAGACCAAGGTACAAGTAAGGACACCTGGCGTTCCGGGAACTGCGAACCTTAAAGCCCCGACCTACGATGGACAAACGACATGGACGATGTACCACCGCCAGTTTGAAGCAGCGGCTGCTGCCAATGGATGGACTGACCA